AAAATTGAGCGAAGATTTGATGATCAATTCCAAATTTAAGAATTAATTATCATAATTATTGATTTATCTTTTCATCATGACTAGTTTTCTAATCTGATGACTATAGTGACTTTTAGAAAACAATGAGAAAAACATTGACAATTGTTTTCTAATAGCAGTATTTGTTTTAATGTTCTAAATATCATTATTTTGACTCGTATTATTAATTGATATAATCGAATACTTTTGAATGAAACTATATTGTTAATTAAATCCATTCAAAGAATATGAAATTTGAAATAACAAAGATCGATTCTTACACTTCGAAGTAATATTCTTTTTTTACACATCGAAAATTTTATCAAAAGAAAATATTTCACTACTATTAATGAATTTTATAATATGTAAAATGAGTTACAGAAATCAAAATTATTCTATTATTCTTTTTTTTCTTCGAAAAAAGCTCATTTGACTCTGTTTATGATTTGTTGATCTATCATAACAACAAAAGTTCATTTATTGAAATAACGATCGTCAAAACTTATTATTATCAAACGAAGAGAAAAAAAAAGGCTTTTGCATTATTGACATTTCATAAATAATGATTGACAGAAACAAGTATTTTTATTTTAATTAGGTATGGCTGCCATAGCTGCTCTGTCACAAAATGAACGTACACTTCGTTATATTATTGATTTACCTTTCCCAAATAATTCATATAATGTTTGGAAGCCATTATTTAAATTATTTATTTCATTAAATGATGATGAAAGTATTGTATGTGGTCGTGCACTTGAATTATTAACTCGTCGAGAACCAAACAGTCATCGAAATTGTCCATATTGGCCAGCTATGGTTGATAATGGTCTTATTCCAACATTAATTCATATATTTACAGAATCAAAAAATGATGATGTACTTATAAGTGCATGTCTTTTATTATTAAATAGTGCTATTGAATATCCACGTATTAAAACAGAATTAATAACAATTAAAAATGCATTTAGTCCTATGTTAAAACATACACGTTCAACAAATGATCAAATTGTTACATTATTAGGTCGTGTATTAGCATGTTTAAGTGAAAATAAATCTTTAATTGAACCAATGGTTGATCAAGGTCTTATTGAATCATTAATGATACTTATTGATAAACAACGTACACCACATATAATAGCATCATATTTTGAATGTTTAGCTAATATTGTTTCATATTCATCTGAATATCAATTAAAATTAGCTAATTCACAAGAATTTCTTTCATTACTTATAAATCATTATTTAGAAGAATTTGATTTACGTTTATCATTATCTGTTATGCGTTTTATACGTCAATTAGCATTTAAAAATGAACAAATACAAAATTTATTAGCAAAAAATGGTGCATGTGAACATATACTTGGTGCTTTATCAGCATCATCAAAAGATTTACAACAAGTTGCTATTGAAGCTATACAAGCTGTAAGTGATAAAAATATTCTTGTACAACGTATTATGTTACGTGAAAATGCACTTGAACAATTATTAAGTTTATTAGATAAAACAAATCTATCTAGTTTACAAATAGCTATTGTTTGTACATTATGGACATTATGTGGTAATAGTTCATCATGTAAACGTGAAGTTGCAACACGTATTGGTGTTAAAAAATTAATTAGTTTTTATAGTATTAAATCTGAAGAACATTTATTAGCTATAACTGATGCACTTGGAGAATTAGCTAAACGAACAGCAAGTATTAAAATGAATATACAAGAAGAAATAAATCGTGCACAAGGAATACAATATCTTATAAGATTACTAAAATCGGATAATGAAATGCTTGTTTTAAGTGTTTTAAGAACATTACAATTACTTGCATGTGCACCTGGTTTTGTTTCAAATCGACGAAATCAAGAAACTATTGTTAAAAATGATGGTGTTACAATAATGGTTGCTTTAATGTTACATGCCAAAAGTGAACTTATTCAAGTCGAAGCTGCACAAGCTTTAGCTTGTATTGCATTAGGTATTTATAATACTTGTTAATCTGTCAGTATAATAAAGAAAGAATTCGATTTTATTTTTTTTAGTAAATATTCAATGTTCGACAATCATTGAAGGTACATTGGATTTTTCATATGAACATCTATTTAAATTAATGCAATCAACAAATCCAATTGTACAATTAAAAGCAACAAATGCATTAGCTACATTTATTTATAATAATCCACGTGTACAATTATCTCTTGCTAAAGAACATCAACTTTCATTTGATTATTTTCAAACATTTCTTCAAAATAATAATGATCAAATACGATGTGCAGCAGCATTTCAAGTTTGTTTTTTTTATATGTATATATAATTTATTAATAAATATGAATTTAAATTATTTAGCTTGTTGTTTTGGCTGGTTTGATTCGTGAACGTACACAATCAGTTAATACAGCTATTGGATGTGGAATTCTTGTTGATATTCTTCGAAAATCTCTAACTGAAGAAGCAAAATCCGAAGCTGCTGAATGTATAGCTCGACTTGCACATATGAAATCAGGTAAATTATTAAAATTCATTTATCATTTGTACTATTTTTTCATTGAGTCATTTCTATGTCAAAATATATTTATATATAAATATATATATATATATACATATACATATTTAATTATAGTTTCGGAAGTGCTTAAGCACACAGGTAACATTATTCCAATATTTATATGCCTCTTCTCATTTTCTTCTTCTTTGCACTTAATATTTATTCGTAAATTAGTTGCATTCCGATAAACTTCTTATTATAGTTTTTACTTTCTTTATTCTATAGATTATACTTATTAGTTGCATGCATATTTCTTCTTATTAATAATTCTTTCAGGTGTACCACAAGCATTAATTTCAGTTAATGCAATTGATTATTTATGTGATTTATTTTCATCATCACATGATACAACAATTGGTATTGCATCTGTAGCACTTGGATATTTATCTTATGTTCCTGAAGGACAACGAAAATTATTACATAGGTATTTAAAAAAAAAGACTTTTATTTTCTTAAACATGTTTTATTTATATTTAAACAACAACAAAAAAAATAGATGCCGTGGTGAACCAGATATAATGGCTTTTCTCAAAGTGTATAATTGTTTACCTGATATGCAGCCACGTATATCAAAACATCTGCTCGAAGATTGGGATCGATATAATACACTCAAATTACCGAAATTACGGTCAGCGTACAGTACTTCTACTACAGTGGCATTCACAGCGTCCGTCGTTAGTCGCACCCAATTACTGCTCAGGGCACAATCTCGTGCTGCTCGCCACGATGGCTTTTGAGAGCGCGAGGGCATGTGTTTACCCGCGTGTGTGTGTGCGTTTGTGCTCTTGATGATCTCACTGCTCGGCATTTTGCATATATATTTTTCTTTATTTGATTTTTGTTTTTATTCTCTTCTGTTTCTTCTATTTTTAAAGGACACTGAAACTCTTTTAAATGAAATTTATATTTATTTATTTATTTATATTTTTCTATTTTAGATCCCGAGGATCAAACATTCGATACTTTAAAGTTCTTTCAAATAATATTGAACGATTACGAGCAGCACCACAATCAACGACTGAAAAAGAACCTACAACATCAACTGTCATCAAATTTTATTTACCACCTATTCGTCAAAAAGCTCACTAGATTCCTTTTTTTCTCACCGAATTTAATATGTATATCATTGAAAAAAATCAAATATATATATATAATTTTAGTATTTATATAGAATTATAGATATTTCATTAGTTTTTAAATGATGTTAAAATTCATTATTTTTGAATAATATATTAATAAACTATTTCAAACTCAATAAGAATTTTCTATTGATATAATATTAAATGAATGTAAAATTTGATCTTTGTGGATATAATAGTAATAATAATAATAATAAATTTTCTTTTCAGTGTCAAAGCTCAACAGATTATATTCATGTATCATTCTAAGTCAAAAAGATTACAAAATGTTCTTATGACGTTGAAAAATCTATCTCACTAAGAAAACAGACATGTTGTTCTTTTGAAGCATAATATATTTGCCACGATTAAGTCTGTCTTGCATGACAATTACAGTCAAATTTAAAGAAGTCATGAAAAACAAATCAACATGTTAATTTCAATAGGAAGAGTAAAATTAGATTATTAAAAAAAATGACCGGATAACATATGACACAACGTAAAAATTGATAAATAAGAAATAAAATCTTACGAATAGAAACATATTTTAAACATAGGCTTCAATAATTTAAAGAAATAAATCTTCAACAAATTTTTCTTAATAACAAATGTCACTATTAAAACAACATCTGCTATTGGAATGTCATACGGCGATATATATTTAAACCATCTTTTTATGTTTGTTTTCAAATGATTGACGTCTATTAGTACGGAAGGTTGTTTTTGACATAAAACAAAAATTTAATTAACTAATCAATGTTATACAATAAACATTACAAATTTTAACAACAACAAGGGTAGTATATAATTAAAGATGAGATTGCTATACTGATTCATTGATGATTGTTAAAAACCTATTATTTGCTAATATGTTATTATAAAATTTTCTCTATGTTGACAAGTCTAAAAAGAAAAAGAAAATCTTTTTGTTCAATAAAATTTAACATAATTTCATTTTTCTAAATTTTCTTTTGACCAAAAATTAAAATCGTAAATAAACAAAAAAAAAAAAAAAAAAAGAAAAGAAAGATATTTTCAAATTAACAATCAACAGTATAATACATAAATCGAAAGATACTTATATATGTATAAATAAACTGTTCATTAATAGTTATCTTAAATAACCAAAACAAAAGAAAAAAAGAGAAGAATATATAAAGACAAACTCGAATTGAAATAAAATAAAAATATTGAAACTCATCTTGCTAATAGTAATTTTTCATCATTTAAACATAAGTTATATTATTTATATGATTATTTTCAATATGTATATGATCATGTGGACGATTAATCAAATTTACTGTTGATAGATTACTTTCATTAAATTCTCAACAATCACTTTTTTTTGTTCTACTTAATTTTTCATTATTATACGAAGATGTTGCATCAATTAAAGGAAAAGTAGTCATTTGAGTTTTTGCTACAATAGTTGGTGGTATTAATCCTGGTCCACCTCCACCATTACCAACAGCAGGAGTCGCATTTGTTCTATCATTTTGACAATATTCAGGAAAAAGTTTTGAACATCCAGGTAAAGATAAAATCATAACACGAAGTTCTTGTCGAAAAACATCAGCTGTTAAAAAATAAAGTAAAAAATTTGCTGCTGTATTTGCATAATAAATTAATGAGAGCATAGTCCATAATGATTGTGAATTTCTTCCATGTAAATTTCTGAATAAATGTCCAAATGCCATAAATGTTGATGCTGGTGCTGTTAATAAGATAAATACACATGAGACAGATAGAAGCATAATTGTCATATTACGCTGTTTAGCTTTTTTACGTTGGTTTTTCTGATTAATTCTTTGTTGAATACGACGTGCTGATGCAATTACTTTTAATATTAAAGAATTAAGTATTAACATTGTTACAAATGGACATAATGTAAAGAAAAACCATTGAATATATCCGATCATATTTGAACGAAACCATAAATAATTCGAATGTTCTTCTGATATATTACATACACGTTTATATGATATTGTATGATTTAATAATGTTGATGATTGTTTTACAGGTTGTAGTATAAATTCATAAAAAATACCCCAATGTAATTGAATAAAAATCGATAATAAACAGATTATACCAATAACTATGTATGCATTTTTAACAGTGCAATGCCTTTTTGAATAATGATGTTTTGCTATTGCAAGATAACGTTGAACACTAACAGCAACAAGTAATGTTGGAGATAAATTAATAAAATAATAAGTGAAAAATATATGTAATTTGCAAGCTATATTGCTATATAAACGCATATTTTGTTCAGGATCAAGACGGACAAGATAAAAATTTAATACACTGAAGAAAACATTACCTAAATATAATAAATATAATAAATATAAAAAATTATATTAATAAATTTTCTTGCCTAGATCAGATAATGCTAAAGCAATAAGATAAATAGATGTAACTTGAGCTCTTAATTTTTTTCGGCTAAGTGTTAAAGCAGATAGAGTATTACCAATACCACCGATGACAATCAATAAACCACCGATGATTCGAACGGACCATTTAAGGACAGAAAAATGATTTTGATTGGAAAGTGCTTTAGCAGCAGATGATGTTGTTACAGTTAAAATTGACATTAATGATGAGGATATATTTGATGATGACGATGAAGATATTTGATATCCAAATGTTGCTTCAATCATGGTAAAATTACTATCAAAGAAGAGTGGCTCTAGCCAGAGCACATCTTCCGTAACTATTGACATTGTAGACAACAAAATTAAACGATCGATAAACAAACTGATGAGCATAGAAGCCGAAAGGTAAAAGCGGCCGATTTTCTTGCCGTATAACCTAAATGAACGAGAGTCAATAAGAACGATCAAGATTTATTTTTGATCTTTTCCATAAAAAATTTTTCTTTCTATTCCGGAAGAAAAAAATGGTGCTATATTTTAAATACACAAACCTTCTTAGTTATGTATTCCATCGCAATATCGACGTTCTTGACACAAAACTGACGAGTGGTGTTTATAAAGTAATAGTAATAAAAGCAACTTTCTTTCTACTTCCCTCACACTCTTTTTCTCACATTCCCACACATACACTCTCTCTCCTCTATTCTGCTATATCTCACAAAGCATATTGAATTTATATCATGCTATTCATTAGATTCTTTCAATGCATACACCGGTAAGGTGTAGGAGAAAGTCTCGGAAATGGAAAAAGATATGTGTGACATATATATGCATACCTTTTTCTGATCTAATCTTCTTACTGTGAGGTTTTTTTCTTAAATAAATGTCGACAAGCTAATAACAACTGTAATAATACAATAGCAATAATAACAATCATAATAAAAAAGAATAAAAGTGAAAAAAACTTTGACACCGATGTAAGCAAGTATAATGATAAAGATTTATTAGTCGTTTCTTCGATGGTATAAATCAATCATCGTTATTATCGGAAGAAAAAACGTATAAATAAATCTATCTATATATATATATAAAACTAACAAGTATGTTTCTTAATAAAACAAAAACACCCACATCCATCTAGAGGATGACATTGCATGTTGATAACATTTTTTTTTCTTTTCTTGTCGTTTCTTTTTTTTTCTTTATAACATTTGTTCCTGATTTAATTATTACTACCTTCTCCAGACAGAGCCAATTTTGTATGATCACTCACACGAAAAAGATGTATTGACGAAAAAATAAAAGAAAAAAACACCTAAGAATAGAAATACTTATTGTAATCCTGATCATCATTTTTCATTTATTGAATAAGAAAAATAAATCTATATGATGAAAAACATGAGTTCAACTCAAATCATTCCTTTCTTTATCTTTTTATTAGCTTTATTTCTATTTGATTGGTCTTACGTCAGACCCCAGGACGGAAATTGTTAGGATTTTTGGTACGCTGATCAAAAATATTTTGTGAATTGTAAAATTTTATTAAAAAAAAAAGAGATTAAAAAAAACAAAAGAATATAGTCACACAAGGATTAACATTTTCTTTATCTTCAAATCTTATTAGTATTCCAATTATAGATATATCTATCAATCTGAAATAGTAATATCGAAAAGATCTGAATAGGAAAGGTGAATAGCGAAGAAGTTGTTTTGTCCTTATTCTAGTTAAACTCTAAACTTAATATGTATGCAAGCAAGTTTCAAGAAACGAAGAATAAGAATCCATTGTAGAACCATTGAATGTACTTGACATAACTCTCAAGAAGCAAGTTAATGTCGATGCGTTTGCTCGTTAGAAAGAATGAGTGAAAGTCTCTGTGTTTCGTATTTAATAATTGACGATACTTACACAATCGTTCTTTTCTTTGTTTGTTAACAACACATGTAAAAAAAGATAATCGTCAAATAATTTTCTTTTTATATCTTCATTTTTATTGTTTTTGTTTTTTATACATTCATAGAGACATGACGATCAAAGTTATTTCAATGATAATTATGAAAAGTGATGATGAGAATCAAAATAGGAAAAAAAAAGATTCATAGCTTGAATTTTTTCTTTCTTTGTATCATGCTTTTTCATTCTGTCTTTTTTTTCTCTGTTACTGTTGACTAATAATTCCAGCATATGTCTGTATGTGTGCATCTTATTCAAAAAAAAAAATGAACGACTAACGACACAACTGTTCCAGCGGAGACTTCCCATAGGAATTAGTGTATTATATGTCCTGTTGTGTTGTGCTGTATTCTGGAGCGTTCATGAGAAAGAAAAGAGAGAACAAAGAAAGAAAAAAGAAAAGAAAAAGAAGAAACTATGAATAGACCACAAACGAAACGACACAGAGAGATGCTCAAAACTAAAGATCATTCAATTTTACAAGTACTATTATACGACAATTATGGGTTTCATTAAATAAAACTACGTGAAATTCTCACATAACGTTAAAGATCAATCAGTTTCATAATCATTTCTTATTTCTCAATAGATATACATATACATATATTTATATAATATCTATATACCTTCAGGAAATGTAACATGAATCGAACTGTGAAGGTATAATTGACATCAATCGTTTCCTGGCACTTTATTTTTGGACATGAGTGTTCTACTAGTGATAAACATATGGATATTAACATGCATTGATTGATAACAATTTATGATTACTATCGAACTATTCTTGCGACAACTTAAGACAATGATGTCGCTTGGGATTTTATATGCTATTGAAAAATTCATTGTTGAAAGCCAATCTATACATGACTGACTAGTCTTTCAGTTGATGATATGATATTCTTGTCGTTTTAATAATAAATGAAAGTAGCTCTTATTTCTTTTTTTACCTCGTTCCCATACATTCATTCTGTTTGGTCGATGCTCTCAACATACTCGTTGATGACATGCAAGAAGATGAAAGAAAAGTGATTAAAGATTAAAATAAAGGAAGTATATAATTAAAAGCAATATAGCAAAACAAAAGAAAAACACTAAACTAGACCAAAATGTCAAAGTTACTTAAATAAAACGAAAAAAAAACATAATCCGACGAGAAAAACAGCACATACCTTGATATTCCATAAGTATTCTCTTTCTAATTAATAGAAAAAAATTTTATTGAATGACTTTTATCGCAATAACTTTCAATTGATGAACTATATACGCATACTGCTGGTTGAGAGATTCAAGTCATGTTGTTGAATAGATAGAACGAGAATGTATATTCAAAATATATCTTTTCTTCGTTAATGTGCACATAAAATTCTATCTATTCATGCGTGCGTCCATTATCTATTTGTTTGTCTTGTTGTGATAGAAAAAAAGTACTATTGTTACAAATGAGCATAGCGAAATAATAACGAAACAAGACGAGCTAAAAACATCTACATCGGATGTATTATAAAAACGACTAAATATTACTTGACTATTACGTAGTTAAATATATCGATTATATATTTTCGATAAAATTAAATAGTTATTATTAATTTATAAAGAAAAAAAAGGAAAAGATTTTCTTCGTTTTTAATAACGTCAGATTATATATAAAATTCATCAATATGAAAGCGACTTTTTATTTAATTCCAGTTTAATAATTTTTATTTTATAAAATTAAATATAGATATATCAGTCAAATTATCTTTCTATTTTCCTAAGTTTTATAGGCATTGTTGTGAAATTTTAGAATATTTCCTATATTCATCCTAGCTAATCAGATATATTGTCGATTAGAAATTAATTCAATTTATTGGTAATTACAGAACAGGCAATAGAATCTTTTTTTTTCTTCCTCTTCTTCTTTTTCTATTCTAGTTGTATTTAATTACTAGACTATTTTCATCTATTGTTCTATCCTATATTCCCCTAGAGAGTTAAGAGATACTTGATAACACCAATCATTTTTACATAAATCTAAGATAGGCATGATAAAGGATTATCTAGACAATAACTAATATACATATTTTCTTTTCATGTTTTCGAACTTGATTAGTTAAACCTTGTGATCGATTACAAAGCTATGTGTCGTCGTGTCTAATAGAAAAACAGATAACAAGAATAAATTATGACAAAATTTTATTGATAGAATTATTTATTAGTGAGATATCGTTTTGCTTGTCCGAATCGATCGTTAAAAAATGCTTTTTTTTCCATAATGAATCTTGCTGCTGAATACAAATCATACTTGCTGAATAAACTCAAGTAAATCAATAAAAAATAAGAAAAGCTATTATAATCATTTATAATATGAATTGAAAATTGAATCATAGTTATTCATTTAACAGAAAGCGCATAAAGAACACATGTTTCCCATTGGCATTAGTTAGATTCATTTCCATTGTCGTATTATATTGATTGATAAAAAAAAATAGAAAGCCGTGTGCTCATCGGAAGTCAGACCTTCTCTTTTTTAATAGACTGCTTGGTTTTTTTTTCTCCCATATTCTTCTTCTTCTTCTTCTTCGCTTTTCGCTCTATGTCATATCTCAGTCAACAATGATTGAGCATATACACGCGGCTAAGTGCCTCTGGGGTGCGAACAACGAGTGCTGAAATGCAAGCTAAATTTCTCTTCCTCTATCTTTTTTTTTTCTCAATTCTAAACCATTTCTTCTTCATCACCAACACCATATTTTAGATACTATTCGATTAGATCAAACAATGAAGCCAATGGCTTATGAAACCAAATGAACCTATATAAAAATGGAATAATACTCATTGCATACTGAGTTCTTCTCTATGATTTTAGTCTAGTGATCATTTTTCCTATTTATATGGTTCATTGAAATTTGAATAATAGTATTATCTGCTTTAGAACAGTGTCAAGTTCATGTACCAACGATTTGTTTTGTTATATTAAAATTTCAGTAATCAAATAAAATGAATCAAAATTTATAGCTATAAATATATAACAGACACTACAGGAAACATCTTTGTCAAGTTATGGATTTAAAAAAAGGAAAATTTGATATATTTCATAATAAAAAATACCGTTCTATACAAGTGATGATGAGTGGAATTACCAGGACAACAAGAAACTTAAAATGCTATAAAGCATAGATATTATTATCTGTAATTATATATTTCTTGTGAGTAGATCCTTTAAAAATGATATAAATTTCATCGTAAAATACTTACGGGCATTGTTACTATGTTCATTCTCATTATATTGTTGCCTGTAGTGTTAAGAAATTGCGAATCAACAAGTAAAACTAACAACAGTTAATAATGATGATTTAGAGTTTATTGTCAATGGCGTCGATTGTTCGTTCGATGTTGTGGTTGTTAACTGTCAATACTCGAATCAAGAAAATGATTTTTTTAAGAAAAGAATTCCCTTTCGCGTTTTTTTTTATCTATAACGATAAACAAAATTGAGAATGAGAAAGCACGATTTTATCAAGAATCGTACAATAAAAGAGTAGAAAAAAAAGAGGGGGAGAGAGAGAGAGAGAGAGAGGGAGATAGCGAGATTCTAACGAAAAAAAAGCAAAAAGAAGAAAAAAAGTTTGCATATTGTTCTCGTTTTCTTCTTTCTACTTTGCTATTTTTTCTGCTTTATATGAAAAAGAAAATAACAAGTGAAGAGAGATTCATCATTGTTGACGCCAACAGCATCACTATCTATTACTTTCTCGTTTGTTAAATATATATATATATATATATATATATGTATGTGTGAAATTGACGCTACTTATACCCATAGAAAAAAAAGAATGTAGACAATATATCGATTAGATGATGGAAGAAAAAAAACCAAGAAAGACAAGTCAAAAAAGAAAATGCTAATCACGATTCGCATCAATTATAACTCAAGAGAACAGAATAGAAGACGAAGATTTTGGCTGTACAACATCATTAACTAACACTGATCCGATTAATTTGAAACGACAAAAAAAGAGAAAGTCAGACTTGGAAAGCCAATCATGTAACTCAATGGCGTTCACTCTGAAGACTGTCTCTATAAATCGTTCACGCTTTTAGATAGATAGCCGGAAGCGGAAGCTCAATTGTGACAGCTGAATATATGTAGCGTTCATTCAAGGAAACATATACATATAGATATGTATTTGAGATTGTAAAAAAAAAAAAGAAGAGAAAACAACACAACTGTTTACTTGACAAAAGAAAAAACGTAGACGTATTTTTTTGTTGTACTCTTTAATTTGGGGGTAGCTCAGGACATAGATTATGTCTTTTAGACAACAAACAAACCTCAATCTAACTGTCAACTCTAGCAAAAGCATAGTGAAGAGACAAGAGGTGGAGTGTAAAGTTATTCTATCAATTCTCATTAAGAATTTAGCACGCAAGATTTCTTTTTTTTTGTACTACGTAGTTTCAACATTACATGTTACAGTCAATAGATAATTAAAAAATATAATTCGCCAATAGATTTATACAGATGCTTCGTCGACCTTTTTGTCGTTTATTAATATCTCGAACTCAAATGTTTTCGTATAAACATTGACTATGCATGTCTGAGCGTCTGGAGAATTCACAATAGAATGTCTAATTGATTGATTGGTCTTTTCACTATGGTGATAGACTCGTATGCATAGAGATAACCAATAATAAATAGATAAGAAAGTGATAAAAACGTCAATAACAATAGAACTAGCAAAAACAATTGATGAAGTATATTATTTGACCTCGCGTATGGTCAATCAATGTTGAGTAGACATGGAAGTGATGGGTAGAAGAAAAAGGAGAAGAAAAAAAAAAGGAGAGATAACGCGGTCGAGAAGGACGAATCATTTATATTGACCTTACACCCAAAGCTCATTTCTTATTCACTACAACAGAAATCATGACCAATTTTATATATTTCTATGGCTTATTGCTTTTATTTTTCAATATAAACGATGCCAGAAAACCAAATGATCCTTTACAAGGTATATTAAAAACAAAAATATAAATGACTTTTTTTTTGTTTTCTATATCATCATCATCTCTATTATATCTAGGAACAAATTCAATATGTGCAGATGTTTGTACATCATCGGAAGCTCATGTTGAATTGGATTTAAGTCAACCGCGAATCTATCGAGAACATGAATATGTTCAAATAAAACTTTTTCAAACTGGTAGTGGTCCATGTCGAGAACCAGGTATAATAGAGACGATTAATATCATCATCTAAATAGTAAAACATATATACTTTTTATTTTGCTTTTGTTTCATATAATAGACTAATTACTTTTTTTTTCTGTGAGACTATTTTGTCAAGATTGTTTTTCAATAGTAAAATAGTAGTTAACTCTATTCATTCGGTTCACTGAACACAATAAAGAACGAGCAGAAAGTACGCGAAAGAGAACAGATAAAAATAGAATTTTATTTCTAATAGAAGAAACTCATATATAATTATACAATATCGTTTGTTTTTTTCTTCCTTATGATTTTGTAATTTAGCTTTACTTGAAATTCCTCTTGATACAATTGGTAAACATGGTATTATAAAATTTGATCTTGATTTTGGTCCTGTTTTACATAATTTTAGTATTGATATTGGTATTGTATTAGTATAATTTTTTATTTTGTGTCATGAAATTTTAGCAAAAAAAAAACAATTTTCTTTTGTAAAGGATTTAATGATGAAAATAATAAAACAATACGAAGTGTTAATGTGGTTAATCAACAAGTATCAATTGAATATCATTCAGATGATGAAAATAAAACTGATATCTATGAACAATCAGTAACTTTACTTGAACCAGGTGAATCATTATCAATTTTTATATCTAATGACTGGATCTTTATTGATAATGAACAACGAAAACAACAAACTATGAGAGTTGATTTTAATCAATCAAATTCTTTTTTATTTAATCAATATTCTTCGGTTAAATATCTTTCTATTGGTCTTAATCGTAATATAAATGGAAAACAAACTGGTATCGGTCTTTGTTTAGCCAATATAACATTTATTGAATGTTATACTGATCAACGTATGTTTATATATAAGAAGAAAAAATTTTTGATTTTATTTTAATTTTTTGCTATTCTAATCTCTAGAATCTGCTCTGGATATTGATGTAAATAATAAAACATTCGAACAATATGATCTTGAAAATATTACTTGGATTAGTCATTTAACATATTTGGATCCAAATGCTGATATACGTGAATGTACTGCACAAGGTTAGTTAAATAAAAAAAAGAAAATTCTATTTGTTAGTTTTATTTTTTTATCAATCTATATAAATAAAATAGGTGTTGTTCGTTTAACATTTGATCCATATGGATCACGACGTATTGCTCGTTTTGATTTAACAATGGGTTCACAAATTCAAGGTTTTACATTTAATATTGGTGATTCACCAACTAATAATGGTTATGGTGGTGATGGTGGTACAACATCAAATTCAGCTGAAATTCATTCGAATGATAATCGATTTTATGTAAATCTAATTAATTGAATTTTTAATCATATTGTTATATTTGACAAAATTTTATTTAAGGTTTGGGCAAATACAAAAATTTGTGGTGACACACTTTTATTAAAAATTGATTATAATGTTATTGAACCATATGATAATATTACAATTCTTATTAGGTTTGATTAATAATTTCATTAAAAAAAATCTTTTTTTTGTTTTTAGACTTTTAAAGTTTTTTTTTAAATTTATTTCTAGTAATGAGCGTATTGAATTAACTAATCATCGTTCATATCATCAAATTCTTAATAGCCCTTATTTATATGCACTAGCTAAACAAAATGTAACATGTAATTGGTAAGAGTAAGATAAATATTTATATTTTTATATTGTTAAATATATATTTTTTTTAGCTTTGATTCAGTTTGTTATCCCGGTGTACAACCAGATAATGATGTTTACTTTGGTATAAATCGTGTTATCGGTGGAACTTATCGACCTGGTATTGGTGTTTGCAATGCATATGTCAACTGGATTCAATGCAAGAAAATCGGTAGACCAAAAAGAACAATAATATATTTATTAACTGTTCCATGAATAAATTTCTTTTCTTTTTTTTTTTATCTATAGAAGTGTCTCCACGAATTAAACCCGAACCAATAGTTACAACAACGACAACGACCACCACTACCGAAGTAACAACAGTAAAAGTTGAAGAAACTACAATCAATTCAAGTATAGAACTAATCGACGTAACAACTAGAACACTCGAGCATGCAAATGAAATGATAATGACTACTGAATTCCCATCATTAAAAATAATGACGGAAGAAAGTAATCAAACTCATCAAGATTATTCAAGTAGTACATCTGTCTCGATACCATCAACAATGGTTTATTTTGAAGAAATAACAACAGAACAAGAAATAACATCCACTGAATCAATGTTTGATTATATGAAAATTAATCAAGCAAATAATGAAGAACAAACGAATTTTACAATTGCATCAGAAAGTATAAATGAAGAAGAAACATCAACTGTATCAGTATTCAGTAATCGATATCGTTTATTTCATTTATTAGCTAATTTATCACAAGATATTACTATGGAAAATACAACTTCTGAATCAATATTGAATGATTTTAATTCAACAATAATAGAAAACGATATAACAACAACAACAACAACAACAACAGGTGAATTGTTAAATTTATTTTAAGATGATAATTTAATAGGTTTCTTTTTTTTAGTTTTAGATTCATCGGCAAGTTCAACTCCATGTACATTGGAAAATCTTCTAGCTAATTTTGTCTATCATGAATATCCATTAGATAAACATAAATTTATCTTTTGTGATAGTGAAGGCAAAATGAATATAATTGCATGTTCACCAAATTATATTTGGTCACAAAGTGAACAATCATGCATTTTACCTAATTAGATGAAAAAGACAAAATTAAATGTTTACATTTTTTTTTTCTGTAAAACATTGTTGTCTCATTGGTGTGTATCTTGATTAAAATAAATTGTGAAACAAATTTAATTTATCTATGAAATATTCTCGTCTAATAGACAATATTTAACAAATCATTATAATTCTATTGATTTTTATCTTTAGAAGTGCAAAATCTATTGCCAAAATGAAACATTTCTTCTAATATCAAAATAAATGAAAAGTTAGATTCTTTTTTTCATTTCAATGTTTCGAAGAAAGTGAAAGAGAAACCGATTTACTTAATAAACAAAAATGTTATATAAAAAACTAACCGATGTTAATCATCAATTAATAGAAGCAGTTTTCATTCCAAAAAAAACGAGGTTTATACTTTTAGTAAATTCGTATGATATAGTTGTTTAGAAATTACTCGTTTTATTTTATTAACTATCACTTTCCTAGACTACAATAAAAATAAAACAATTTATTACTTTTCATTCAATTATTTATCTTCATAAAGAGTCCTTATAGAAAAGAAGCATATAAAATAGCGAAGGATAAAACGAATAATGGAATAATTTTTTTAAACTTTGTAAGAAATATACTAAATATTTTGCCGTGAATGCTAAGAGTTGGATCCGGTTCTCGATTTTCGATAGCAACTCGATGCAGTTGCCAATTATGCCAGAAAACTCTGATAGTTGAACTAATGTCCTTTATAGGTATTAAATTGAAAAGCTGAATTCCACGAATATTATATCGCATTGCTCGTGCATCATTATCAGGAATATCTCGACTGAGTAAGATTTGTGGTAAATTAAATTGAATACAGACAGGTCGAGCGATACCAACAAAGTCACATGCATCAGAACGAATAGCATCATTCATACCTTCACGAGTACGAAATCCACCAGTAACTATTAAGGCAATCTTTGTAGTTTTACGAACTTTGGCAACAAATTCAATAAAGTTAGTGTCTAGTCTGTTAGTTCGTTTTGATCGAGTATCATGTTCATAAGTTCCACCAGAAATTTCAATAAAATCAATACCACCATGTTCATCAATCCATCGAATTTGATCATAGACTTCTTCTTCTTCTAGTAATCCACCGGTACTAAAATCAGTTGAATTGAGTTTAATACCAACAGCAAATGTTTGAGGAACGATTGCTCTGATAGCATCAATGATTCGAAATAAAAATCTCATTCTATCTTTTGATGTTGCTCCATATTCATCATTTCGTCTATTTGTTTTTGATGATAAAAAACTACTAATCAAATAACCATAACTAGCATGAAGTTCTACACCAGCAAAACCTGCTTTAGCCATAAATTCTGTTGCTTCAACAAATTTTTCAACAGCTTCATCGATTTGAGCTCGAGTCATTTCAATAGGCGTGCCAATGACTAAATATTGTAAAGTTCGAGCAAAAATATTATCACCAATAGATAGTGGAATTGGACTAGGAGCAATTGGAGGTTCTCTAAAAGGTCTTTTTCCTAAAGGTGATTGACGTCCTGCATGATTAATTTGAACAATAGTTGGTGTGCCATGACTTTGACAAATATTTGCATATTGTTTCCATTTGGTAATATCAAGTTTATCTTTACTTGGAATTATCATATCTGTCATGAGACCTGGATAACGTTCATCGACTTGAACGTTACCGGTTAACATAAGACCAAATGATCCTTTTGCCCAACGTTCATAAAGACGATAGATATATTCATTAGGTTGATTATCACCACTGCCAAGCATTTCTGACATCGGTGCTTTGACAATTCTATTAGATAATTTGAGTCCACATGGTAATTCAAATGGTTGTGCAATTGGCATTTCATTTTGTGACATGATTGATCGAATAGGTTATACTAATAATATCAAAGACATACAAAATGACAGATCAACGGACATAAGGGACTCGCGGAATATCATCGTTCTTGTCCGATTACTGCCATGGCTCATATAAAGAAGACTCCATCATAAAATCGGTAGAAGATTTCATATTGTAAACAAACAATTCACATATTGAATAGTTGATTTTCATGTAGGTTTGTCTGTCTGTGTAAGCAATTACTAACTAATCTTATAGCTTCACAAAGATGTCACTATTCGCTGAAGAATACATCGCGAATGGTTTTAATTAACACGTTATTATTATTTTACTTGAGGGACAGTATAGATTAATCTTTTACTAGACATAATAAATATTAAATATATATTAATATTCATTACACACATAACTTCGATATATCCATAAATAGTTGATGGTAATCACAAAGATCAATTACTTAGAGCAATCGAAAAGTAGAAATGATGATACTGTAATGTCATATAGAAAGCTTAAAGAAACTTTCCCTCTGTATGCACTAATAGTAAAAACAATGTTGTATATTTCATCATTCTTCAACTGATATCATAGTAATAAATTTTCAATGAATGCTATTTCTTATGATATGTGACGATAACACAAATGTCCATTTCAAACAAAAAAAAAGGCTAATATTATCTTTTTTTGAATAACTTTCGATAGAAGCATGATAGAGAGCTGTAATTTTCATCTTTTGAAATAAGAGATGAAGACCCATCGAATCATATAGTGCTGATATATTTATAATTTATTTCTTGGTGTTGTTTTTCAATCGATTTTCTAACAAAACGGTGTTAGAAAAATATTTTTATTTTATTGAAAGAGAACACGAAAGAAATGATTTTTTTTTCTGGAATTCCTAGGACACTGAAAATACCGTATGAAGTAGATTAGTTCTAAAAAACAATTGATTAGAAACCTTTTTAAAGCCAGATCCAAAAAACTGTAAGATCTGACTCTATGGGCTATTAATTGATGAACTGTAAGAACTCGATTCTAGTTTCATATCAATAAAAAATATAAGAAGTTTTGCTGCACCTACATCCTTTTTTCACAATTGTGCTCCTTTTATTATAAAAATAACTTATCTAAAATTTTAATAAAGTATCACGAACACTTGTATGTTCGACATAATATTGAAGAAAGACGATAATAACCAGTAAGAATCAAACAAAAATGAATTCGATGAAGTAAAATGATATCTTTCTACTTTGTTATGACAATGAAATGCAATATTTTTTTTATGAATTGTCTGTCATAATTTCATTTCGAAACTTTATAGAACTACTCAATTTTGTAATCTCTATGGAACCATCGACTAATCCTTTTCTCAAATGTTTTTCTTCATCTCATTTCCTCTTTTTGTAAAATAATCTTAATGAAACTATTTAGCTTCTTGTACACTTGTGTAGAAAATTGAATAATTATCTTCATCTGAAGAGTATCTCTTTGTTTTCTTTTTCATTATCTGTTTACATTCATGACTAATATAATCACTCTGGAAGCTTGGCATCAAACACTAAGTTTTGATATTCAAAATATATGTGGTAGGCAAAGTTGAGATTTAGGTAAAATAAAACATTTTTTAAAAGATTTAAAAACAAAAAATAATCGAAAAAGATGAGAATAAAATTACTGATCTTATAGATATTGTTATTAAGTTCGATTTCACTTGTATGAATATACTATATTGTTACAGCAGTGGACAATAGTACGAAGTCGTTGGGGAAATTGTTCCCGTTTATGGAGAAATGCTTCACCCCACATAAAGTCACGCATAACAAGGAGAAATGGAAAGAAAGAAAAATATATATATATATATACATATAATCTATTATATGATATTGTGCATATACTTGAATTTAAAGGGAAATGGTTTTTCTTTCAGAGGGAAATGGTTCAACAAGAAGAAATGGAAAGAAAGAAAAAAAAATATATATATACATATAATCTATTATATGTTATACGTTTCTCCTTGTAAGTAGAGAAATGGTTAAAGCATTTCACCAGCTATTTTAACCATTTCTGCTGGAAAAAATCCAAATCTGCTAGAAAATCTTATATAAGAGACAAAATAAAATAATCGATTTCTCTTTGAATGAATTTCATTTCTCTTACGCCATTTCTCTACACTTTATTTGCATTTCTCCTTATAACTGGAGATATGGATGAACAATTTCTGCTTAAGAAATAACCATTTCTGCTGGAAAAAATCCATATCTGCTAGAAAATCCTATATAAGACACAAAATAAAATAATCGATTTCTCTTTAAATAAATCCATTTCTCTTTATAAATAGAGAAATGGATGAAGCATTTCTCCTGCTATTTAAACCATTTCTGCTGGAAAAAATCCATATCTGTTAGAAAATCCTATATAAGACACAAAATAAAATAATCAATTTCTCTTTGAATAAATCCATTTCCCTTTATAAATAGAGAAATGGATGAAGCATTTCACCTTCTATTTAAAC